TTTCGAACTATATTACAAGAATATCTTTATCTTTATTCTAAAATAATTTATAAATACATATATTACTAACTAATAATTAAAAAGAGAAATGCATGCCTTAATCTTATGCAACTCTAATAATCTATTACTAAAGCTATGGATTATAGATTATAAACATTATTAAGTCATACCTATTTGATTAATATTTAATAAAAAGACGCATGAAATTAAAAATATTGGATAAATATCAATTTTCTTCTTTGTATAATTTCTTTATCTTTTCCTTTTTTAAATTATTTTTTCCAAAAAAGACCATACAACCTTTCCGTTTTGAATAGTTTAATCCTTAATTTTTTAAAATAAAAAAACCATTAAACTTTCTCATTTTGAATGATTAAATCGTTGAATTTTTTTTCTAATGAAAAAATCATTAGATTTTCTTATTCTGAATGATTAAAATTCAGATTTTTTAATAAATAAGTCATCAAACTTTTGCTAGTCGGTTAAATATAACTTTTTTGGGTTAAAAATATGATGGTTTATTAATTAAAAAAATGTTTATAGACTTATTCATTTAAAATAAGAAACTTTAATTATTTTTTTATTTAAAAAAATAATTCAAAAAGTTAAATATTCCAAACCAAAAAAAATCAATGCTTTTTTATTAAAAAAAAAGGGTTTAAAAATCTTTAAACTAAAAAATTAATTGATCTTTTTTAAACTTTTTCCCATTTTACCAAAAAAAAAAGGAGATCAATTAATTGTATTAGAATATATTCCTTATAATAATTTTAAAAAATTAAATATTTTTTATAACTAGCATTTTTTTAATACCTGGGTTTGAACTTGTCTTCAGCCTGGCCAACAGGACCATCACCATTCACCATTCACCATTCACCAGGACCTGGGTCCTAGGTAGTTTTGGATCCTCAACCTGGACTTGGAGAGTTGGAGCTATTCATGTGTCCTGAAAGTTATTGCAATTTAGATAGTCGCCCCAAAAAATTTAAAGTTATGATTTTCACCCCTTAATATTTAGAACAAGGTTCAAATTATTATCTTTAATTAACAAAGTTTTAACGGTTAAAAAAACTATTACAAGAATTAACTGCTTACTTAATTAAGCCATAAACCTTCCTCGATGAGCATCCATCACAAAATCCCCAACAACATCTCACACATGATTATGATTCACTTGTGAATCTGGCAATATCAACTCCTGGCATAAGACTGCATTGCACCACCTGCTGAACAATGGTATCAACATCACTCAACATCACAAAGAACTGTGAATTTAGTAGCTTTCTTTATGATCCCATGTTTTCTTTTTAAGTAAGTCGTGTTTCGGGTCTTCTCTTTCGTTATGGGTTCCATCATTAGCTTAATTCGCACGCCCCATCTATAATAGGGTTGGGTTCCGGTAAGAATAAGAGTTAAGGTAACCAGGAAGGGATCTCAATCCGTAGATGCACATTACGATGAGATTCACCTAGATAAGATATACACTGAGATGCACATGATCAATCCCCGTATCAAACGCTATTCATGGATGGATTTAAGATTAAAAGTGATCAGGAGACCAGATCCATTCTTATGTTTCTCACCTTAACTGTTCTTCTCACACGTACTTAGCCTCAAATTGTTCTTAACACAAATTCTTAAAGATACATATGATCTCCTAATTGATATCAAGACAATATATATTTTTATATATATATAGATGGTTTGGGTCGATTTGATTTGACCGAGATTCTGAATGTGAATCGCCTGATTTGTTTGTATTATTTGAGATTTCAAGATTGACCCTCAGCTTCCCAAAATTTCAGTTTACCTCCTTTGCACAAATTATGTTAAAATTATCTATATCTATACAACCTTGTAAACCAAATTTGTCAAAAGTCTTAAAAACAATTTTTAATGCATAAAGTACTATATATCTATGCACAAAGTYTTAAAAGTCTTGAAAACAACTCATAATGCATTAAGTACTACTACTTTATGCATTCAGTCTTAAAATCTCTTAATCTACACTTAAAATGACATATAGTACAAGTTACCAATGCACACTATTACCTTTTCTTTTCATGTTTCCAAGATACTTTTGATACATTTTACTCATGCATTCACCCTCTCATACCTCTATATCTTTACCCCATCCCCCAATGTGAGATTCAAACTAATATTC